AAAAAAAAAGTCTTATTGCATTCGTCAAATTGTTTCCTAAACAATTTTAGACAAAAATAGTCACTTTCCTAGTGGCTTGTATCTGATGATGACTTTTGATATATTGCCCCAAAAGGCAATGGAGACTTCCTAAAGTAGAAAATTCCCCCTATTCCACTCCTGGCTTTTACATCGATCTTTTTGAAAACTCACATCCCTGAACGCTCATGAAAGTCTTCCAATAAAATCCACTAAAATCTATAACCATAAAGACCTTACAGAAATGAGAATATTTAAATAATGATAAGTGAGCCATCGGACACACTATGACAAGGCAACCCCTTTTTTACAAATAAAATTACATTTTGCGGCTCAACACTTCAACTGCTTAAAAGTAAAATGGCAGCATATTGTAGCCATCAATACAGATAGGGGTGTCCACAAACAGCAGGCACATATCCAACACTGGATATTTAACACTGCCAACTGAAGGAAGTGAAGCGTTTTTTTTCCTTTTCAGAAAGGTGATCTTTCCTTCAGTAGCCAACTGTTTTACCTCTCAACTATACACCAACCTGTATATACAGTTATTACTCTCTTCATGACAAGTTAGAGAGTAGCTGAAAATTTAATTCCTCATATCCACTGTGTGTAGAACACATGACTTTTATTGGTTGTATCATGTTTAAAGTTTAATGTGAAAATACTGGAACTGCGAGTGCAAGGTTTCAGCTTTTCTCTTCAGAAACAGTCCAGCATGTTAGTGTGAGCTGAAAGTATTATTTTATGGTGCATAAAATAATATAAAATATAAGGATAAATAATATAAAATGAGTTTGAGGTCACATCTGACCAATTTCCATGAGCATGAACAAGACTGTTTTGTAAATTGACCATTTAAGTGTCTACAGAAATACCACTTTCTGTTAAGATCGCCTCTGCTCCATTCTACGTACGTACGTTAATGTATACGTTTAACATCTTACTTTTATTTATTTCTAGAGCATTTTAATGACCAATTTAACGCGCTACATATAAATAAACCCTGCAGATTCATGCATCTGACCCTAACATTCTCTAGTGGTTTCTGCAGATCACAAACGTCACCAATACAGGGCCAGCTAATGTACGTTTGCCTGTCCTTCAATCTCCCATTAATTCTTTTTACAACGGACTAAAAAACGTTTTCCTCACGATCCTTCCAATACCGTCAACTTGAAAGCATTCACTTTTCTTTCAAAAAGAACGTATAACCATCGTATGCACAGACAATGTTTAATCTTTTCATCAGATGAAATGTTTTCGTTATTTAATAAAAAATGGAAAAATCCTTTAAAAGCCCACAAAATATCAGAATTGAGATGTTTACAAAAACCTGAAGAGAAGTCATGCAGTACTGAAATGCATACATATTTAGTCTGACAAAATTCACACTTCAATTATTGTGACACTTCAAAGATTACATTGAGAGCTTACCTGAAACCACTGTAAAATGATACAATTTTCCCCCAATTAGATTCACATCATATAATTAAGAAATGTTGCAGTTTGTTTTCAAATGACTTCCAACTTTACTTCCATTAATGCTTACCTACACAGATTTGTGTAAATACCACTAAAGACGTTCATCAATAGTTTTATATTTATCCAGGTTTTAAACAAACTAAACAAACATTAAAAATGTTATTTTCCATTCATTTGAATTCTGCCATAAATCTTTCTACATTCAAGTTAAGAGAAATGCTTTGATCACTAATTAAGTGCGAAATATGAAACAATGCTTTTTTTGACACCTCATATCTATCAAAATCATCCCTCTCCAGCTGTCAACACAAGATACGATAAGATCACTTTATTGGCCATATACACTTTCTTGCATTAGGAATTTCTTTTTGCATACCCCTTTCTCCATGAGACACACAGACCGGGAGAGAGCAGCTTAGGGTCAGAGCGCAGGGTCAGCCATTTATACAGCGCCCCTGGAACAGCTGGGGTGAAGGGCCTTGCTCAGGGGCCCAACGGAGTGGGATTCCTCTGCCGGCCACAGGATACGAACCAGCAACCTTCCAGCCACAGAGCCACCACACCGCCCAGTTTATTATCCTTTACAAACTATGAAAGCTCCTCACAAAAATGCTGTAGAGAGCAGCACGAGCAGAAAATGATGGGTCATTCCACAGCACATCAGTTATTCGCTGCAGAACAACCCTTAAGCAAGCCCATACCTGTGCACTTCTCGGTAAAACAACCAACACCTACGATTCCTCTTGGCACTCCCTTAACACGTCCCTTCATCTCCTGAATTTCTCTGGAGAGAAAAGACAGGCCTGTACCTACCCATGGTCACGTAAGGCAGCTTGTCAGTCGAGCCGTGTGGGTAGATGCTGTAGAGATGTGGCCCGTTGCAGTCCACCCCACCAAGCACCAGGGCGGCGCCAATGTACCCCTGGTATCTGTTCAGGGTAACAGGAATTTAGGAGAAAAATTCAACATTAGACTACGAAAGAGTGGCATTCCCATAAGGAAAGGGATGTACAGCCTCTATTCCTTACAGCTACTGTGCTTCCATTTCAAATACCTACTTTTTTATTCTCAAATCGCATGCAATGTGGCTTTTCAAAATGACTTATCGCCAATTCTAAAGACGCAATATTTCATACTTACCCTCAGATCAGCACATTTACAGCCAACAAACTACTGGACGACCACTATAACTCGTGATTATAATTACTGCAAGCCACACAGACTTACTGTTGTGACATCACTGCTTGGTATTGATTCTCTGTAAAGGAACGTGTAATAGGTTTATTCCACACTGAAAAGAGAAGAAAGGAAACGACGTTTCGGCAGTGGAGCCTTCTTTGTTTCCGTGCGTCTTTGTTTCTCTTCTCTTTTCAGCCGGGAATAAACTTTAACTTGTTCGTTTGCAGTCTGCGCATGCTGACGCAGCTCCCTGCTCGATTATTTGTAGTCCGATAAGCAACTGCTCACTGTAGCAGCTCCTCGGAGGAGGTGGCGTTTTGTTCCATTCTGGCTACATAACCGAACTAATTATCTTCCTAATCATTTCCTTAGATCTTGATTGTTTGATGAAACCACCAGGACCAAATGCAAAGTGACTGAATGAGCGGGATATTTTTGTGCTGCGATAGCTATTGCCCTGCTGCAAGTGGAAAAACGCCTTTTTGAAGAGCACCAGCGCTGTGCTGGTACGGTAGCGTGGACACAACACCTACCTTCAAAAAGTCCCCCTGGCATTCACATCACAATCTTTCAAACGATTCATTTTCCGAACTGAGAAGTCCTTCAGTGCAAGAAATATTTTTATCATAAATCACCAAGCATCACGCGGCACTAAACCCATGAAGCTGAGCAGTGCACAATTACTTTTCCCCCCTATGTAGCAGTTGGAGGAGCATCCATTGAAACGCCAAAGGTAAGGTTAAGTTCACTATTAACCAACTACCAAATGTTAAGATGCTAGTGCAAGTTGCTTAACTATCCTGAACACTCTGCAACAGACAAAAAACACGAGTAAAGAACATTAAGGTTATAAAAACCCATTATACCACGCAAAAATGTCTGCCTCTAATCAAGAAACGGCTATTATCTATTATCCGCATTCACTTCAAGAAACTTTAATTAGAAATAAATGTTGTCCTTGATCAGATGTCAATGTTTTTATGTTTTCACCCGACTCATTACACACTCCCACTCAACTCCTTTTCGTGATTCAGAAGAACGACTTTCAATGTCCAAAGAAAACTCTCAACACTTTACCCAGCAGTGAAGTAAAAAAAAACAACAACTTTTGGCACAGTGCATATGAGCAGCAGAAAAGGGCTGTAAATGTAGCTGCACTTGTGCTGTAATTTACATCTATGTGCTCCTCAACCTACCATATTGATATAGAAATGTTTAAGGGAGGCGGCGGCGGCTCAAACATTAAAGAAGATCCAATCAGAGCACAGATCCTGCTCTCACCCACCTGAAAAGCATCTGTTTGAGCATGCGATTGGCTGTGGAGACCCTAGGAAGCCGCCCAGTGGACAGAGCATGAAGCTCCAGATTGGAAGAGATGAGCTGGGTGGTCATCTCCGTGTCCGCTGCTGTCCCGGCACCACAGCAGCTGGGAACAGAACCAAACCGAAACATGAAAATTCGGCCATTCAGCGATATCATGCAGGGGACAAGTCTGGGGAAGTCAGCAGTCTGGATCACCGATGAACTCCCTTCTTCATGTCGGTGGGCTAGAGAAGTCGAGATTGTTTTTCCGAATCGTGGCAACTCTTAAACAGCAGATGATTGCTAAGACAGGGTACACTGCCGTTGAGGGCTCGTCGGCTTTTGCGCGTGTCCTCGCCACTTTCAGATGATGGGGGGGGGGAAAGGACGATCTGAAAAGACTTGCATGTCATGGAGGGCAAGCTGGGGTATACGAAAAGACAAATTCCTAATGCCAAAAATTGTATATGGCCAATAAAGTGATCTTATGTATATTTCAAGGGCTTTTTTGGTCCAGGATGAAACACAAGAAGTTCTTTTCCAAGAAGTTCACAAAAGGGTACAAACTATAAGCAAGTAAAATGTATCCAGCTTAAACCGATTCTATCTTCCATATGCCATTGTAATTGCCAAATATTTTTTTTTATAAACAGTAGCAACACATGATGTGCAAGCCAATCACCAGGCAAGTGCACTAAAAACAACCAGCTATATATTCAGACCATTAATGATTAAATGTGACAGGTTATAAGCAGATTAAACCTTTTAGTAAGTGTTACCACTTTTAAAAAGAGGAAGCTTGACAATGGTCCACAAATACTCTAGTGAAACTAAGAATTGAGAAATTCTACTTACTAAATGTTAGAGGAAATGTAGTGAATCTTGGAACAGTTCTTATCAGCGACAACCATTCCTTCAGTGGCTCTGGTATCAGCACCAAGGACAACGCCATCCTGAAAGACAAAATGTTATTTTACACTACAAACCATGGATGTTTCAGATCCAAGGAAATACTCCCCCCGTGTATTTTAGACAAATACCTAAGAAGGACAATAGTCTGGTATTCCTCAACCTTGGCCCTGGTGCTCTCCAAAGTTGTTGCAGGCGTGTCAAATCAGTAATTAAAGATTTCTTTAACTAAGTAACGTATGTAAAATAAACTCACAGTCACCAACTAAATGACCACCAAGGCAATGTCAACCTTTTGTCAATCTTTAACTTTGAAATACAATCAAGATTATTCTGATCCATGTACGTTTTTAGAAAGATCATATCCAAATTTATGGCTAAGAAATTCCTGTAATCAGGTTTTTCTGAATTTTTAATAATTATATGACCATACCTGGATCATTCTGACCCTAGTGAAATTTAACTGCATAGAACAATGACAGTATCTCTTCCGTTTTTATGGTAAACATATATAATATATCTCAAACAATAATGTAAAGCAGGATGTTGTTATACATTAAATATCTGGAAAAAAAAACTGTGCTCTGCTGCACAATTAAGCCCAAAGATGATAAAAATGTAACCACTCATTTGCAATCAAGCCAAAAAGGGACAAGAAAATGAAACATTTCATTTGTCCAACAAATATAGGTACATGCATTTAAAACCCGCATGTTTGTGCATGTCATGTAGAAAACCAGGAATGGAAGCACATATCTTTAGGGTAAAGTTGTAAATTTAAATGTTTTGCTCCGGATCCTGTTGTATTTTCCCCCAAATGTCTCTCTCATTCATTGCAGATCTTATAATTCGATCTTGCTGTACTATCCTTTTGTGCAATGAAAGGTGTTTGGTATTGTGATGGATAAAATGATATTGAAATGATAATGATTATGATCACTGCCATAACAGGAATTACATCTCATTCCGCTGTAATCATGAATTTGCTTAGTGGAAAGTCACTCAGGCGACATCTTATCTCCTACCTATTTTACTTAAATAAGATCCAGCTGGCTTTTACATTTTAAAGCCACAGAACAAACTAACGAAACCCACACAGCAGGAAACAACACTCCCTAAAAATATTAATTGTAAACCAGAAGTTTAGCTTTCTAAAAAAAAGGGGGATTTTAAGTGAAACTAAATTTAAAATCACATCATCTCCAACCTTTGCTGGAGACAAAGGGTTTCAATTTCTAGACAGAAATGGTTACAAAGACTATAACATAGGAACTAATGCTTACTTTTACAATTATAGTATTCCGATTGCGACTATTACTTTCTTACTTCAGATGAATTACACACTGAGTGTAATGTAAAACTTTACAAAATTACAGCAAGGGAGATGATATACAGGGAAAAAAAACAGAGATGAAAACCTGCACTAAATGTCTCCCATTCCTGTTGAAACAGGATCTTTTAATCTCACTGGGCTGTGACGCAAGCACCACTCGACTCACAGTTTAACAGCACAGTTTGAAAGCACAAATCAGGCCTAAGTAAAAATGTAGCTTCTACAAGAGGATTTGTCTGTTTACTTTAAAAAAATTAATCACAATATGAGCAATAATCAACATATTTCAAGAGTTCTCAATGGACTGTTGCTAAAATTGTTTCTCCTAATACAACAGTATTGCAACAAGAGTTTGCTCAAAGTAGACTGCAGTACAGGTAGGAACAGAAAAGTTCATCAGTAGAAAAGGTGTTGGATAATTTCCATTTACCTTGAAAACAATTCCACAAATTGTGGTGCCAGTTTTTCTTGCAGTAGGGATACTGGACCCTAACTTTGTAAATTCAGCCTCCAAGAGTGCGTTTCTACATAAAGAAAGAGGGGAAATAAAGTTTATCATACAGAAATAAAGAGAATGTAAAAACTTTAATTGCATTCTACTTGAAAATGCATCCCTAAATTCGACGGTATTGACTTGCATTTAGCTTTAAGATAGGTTGGTCATCTCTTAAAAGAAAACTGTGAATCTATGGTTATTATCAAGAAATCGTTTTTCTATTTAGAGTTCTTACAGTTGTGTTAACGCAATAGTTTTAACTCGAATTATTTAAAAAATCTCTGACTTAAAAAAAGATCGTTCGGCCATATGGATACGTTTTGCAATGTCATACTTGTCAAACTCTTAGAAATCAGAGAATGATACAACCGAGCTTAGGAGAACCATTAAGCACTTTAACAAAATTCTTTAAAAAAATTAAAATACACAATAAAACAAAAAATTGGAGCCAGTTGTTTTCAAAACATTTTATAGACACAGGATCTCCTAAATAAGCATATATTTAGGAGATCCTAAATAAATGAGAACTTTTTAATTCATTCCAAGTGCTAAACAAAACAAAAACGCAAAACATATTACGAATAACTGAAACGATTACACACCAATAATACGAATAAAACATTTAGCACTAAACTGTAGCGCGTTTTCAATCGAATTCATTTACACCATAAGAAAACCCAAACGTGTGCTTCTCCAGACATCTGGTAATATTTCAAGAGACAACACAACAAAAAAAAATAAAGACATTTGGAGAGGAAAATTTTCATTCCCCACCTACAAATCTGCACTCATTCAGCAATCGGGTTCCCCGTCTTGATCAAAATAAAATAAAATAAACCAAACACGCGTTTTATACAATAAATTCCCTGAGTCATTCCTACAGCAGGCCATGACACTGTCTCCCATACAGTGATGCCGGGACCAGCCCGGCCGTCTTTTGCATGAACTGATTGTTTTCATTTCCCCACCGTTTGCTTGTTTTTCTACCAATTCGTCGAAGCGCCTCGCAAATGAGCGCCTCTCTCGTTTTTTTTCTTTCTTTAATTTCGCTTCTGCTGCGAATCTCACCTCTTGCTGTACTCGAAACTGAAACCCCCGCACGTCGGCTGGCACACTGACAGAGACGCCATCTTCGCTCTCCAACACTCTTTCCCGGAGCAGCCGTTTCCGGGAAGCCGGAGAAACCGCTACAGTTTGAAACCCCGGCCGGAGTCACACTCTCTATCTTCCGGGCTGCCCCCCGGACCCCATCCCCGTGTGGGGAAAACGCGGCCATGCGGCCACAGGTGTGTCTCTGATTGAAGCCGCCTAGATTTTAAAACTTCAGACGAGGGCCGCGGTTAATGGAGGACGTTTCACGTTCCCTTAGCAACACTTGCCTCAACTTCCATTTGTCCTGTGTTTTTATTTTGGGTGGGTGTGTAGAAAGAGCGCTCCGGTATGGACTAGAATTAAATATATTATTTGACTTCCCATTACCTGCGGCTGTGCTGGGCTCAGACTCCTTACCAAACGGGTTTCTACGTTTGCAGGTATTCCCTTTAAGAAAAAAACAACAAACAAACGTTTTCTTACGTTAAGTTGTTTGTGTTCATATCTTCTCCCTTCGAAATTGGTGAGGCTTTTTTTTTTTTAAATGTGATTTTCTTCTTTTTTTTTTGTATCTTCTACCAAACTCGTACTTGAATTGTAATTTTGTCATTCCTAGGAAGGAGCGTTTGGGTTGTTACTGTAGATCCACAAACCTCAGTTGGGTGCCAAGAGCTCTAGAAACTGACCATTTCCATCTAGAACAGCACTGCGCTTTAATTAAGGGTAAAATGTTTTCAGCTTTTCTCGTAATTTAATTGTGCATCTATAGCAAACACACATATTTAAGGATTTAAATTGCACCAACTTTCGTACACAGTTGTGCAAAACTCTTAAAACAACGCCGAGTTTCTCCTTTGCTTCTTATAAATTGTGCACACAAAAAAAAGTTTGTGTATTGTTTGATAGTTTACGGATTCTTATTGGATAGCAATGCAAGAAAATTCTGAAATAGCAGAATACAAATGCAGAGCTCACATTGGAGAAAATGTAGTCAGTTATATAAAAGGAGCGTTTAAGGGATTACATGGCTCAAAATATCGGTAATATGGCCAAAATGAGTAGTTTTTCCTCAATTACATATCGTGGTTCAAAATCTAGTGTTTAAACAGAACCTTAACGCACGCTGCCAGACGGTAAAGACGATCTAATAGGTGAAATTGCAGTATGTGCGATGCGGATCAACAAATATGTTTTTGGGATGTGATTTCCGAATACAGTTTATAAATGGTTAGCAAGACACTAGTTGCACAATGACGAAGAGGGGATTTGCGGGGTTACGTCATACTGGACAGATTGGGCACCACTAGTTGCCGGGAGATGACGCGATTTCAAACTGCAGTGGTTTCCTTATTCTTCAATATATGGTAAAATTAGTTACTGTTATGCATTTGTGTCGCATTTTGCCTCTTAATGTTTGCAGTGGAATGGGACTCGAGTTTTGAGCCTTCCCAGTTTGTTTAAAACCTCCCCTTGTCTTTTCCACGGTTAATAACAACTTTGACATATTAGTACAGATTTATTTGGGGTGATGGGGGAAAAAAAAAGCCGGTCACTTTCAAATTCAGATTGATCAGAGCTTTCAAAAATTGTGCATGTACCAAAGTCAAACTACTGCATACATGAGCAGTCATCATGAAGTTGCGGAGTAGCTAATCCAACACGGATACCAATGAAATCAGAAATTACTCAGGGGCTTTTCATCATGAACATTTGTTCCTTTGCTACATATCCATAAACCTTTTGTGTGGCATGCCAAAATCAAGATATATTAAGATTAGCTGTGTGCTTAAAATGGTTAG